AACTTCTAGAATGCTATTTTTTTGTTTAATAAATCGCTTATTTATGTTTGAGTATAGTGAACTTAATTACAATCTACATAGATTTGACTTAAAATAAATTATTAAGTTTTTGTAATTATTAATGTGAAGAAATTTAATATTTGGCCGAACTATAATGTCAAGACAATTAATTAGGAATTAATTCGTTTATAATTTTGCTAATTATAGTATTTGTGCAGTTCCGGATTCTGTTTTTCACATCTGATTTCATTGCTAATAAGTGTGCGTATATTTTTCTTCTTTTTTTTTCAAATCAAAATTACGGCAATAAGTGGAATATATATGTTGGATTACTATTGCTGTCACACAAGGTAAGTTTTATAAAAAAATACCAGGTGGCGTTAATTAGGGGCAATATGGTATATTTAACAAATATAGTCAGTCAGGGTTAAGCCAAAGATACATGTATATAATGGCCCGAATAACTCATATTATTTTTTTTATTTATGCTGTTAGTACTATATGATACAACAATACGAAATATTACATGAAATAATTCTTTTGCAGCACAAGTGTGTCGAAAGGACCATACGTCATCTAATCTACCACAAACAAACAAACCATTATCACAGGGTGTCGCGCATTCAAATTCTACATCTATTACAGGAAACAGAATAACTATAAAATAATATAATTATTAAATAGGAATTTAATTAGAACTACAAAAACTCTTATTGTGTTGTTTTTTTTGTTCAGGGTTATGGCTAATTTTAGTATTCGTATTTCTAAAATTATTCGCATGAAGTAATCAGTGTATTAATAGATGCATTATATTTATACACCACTGTGCATTTCTGCCGTAAAACACTTTAATAGGAATAAAACAGCTACGTTTGGGCACAGACTTTATTCAACATCACGTACGATATGATGATTTTGATTAAAAACGCCTCATTAAGGGATTTGATTTTTCGCGAATTAATACTATAGTACGCGAAAGTACTATATTTTAATATTCCTTTATTTAAAAAATTATGTTGTTGTTTTTTCATAGTTTTCCACATGGAACACAGCGGAGCTCAAGTAAGTTTCTAACTTCCACATTCCTTAATTAGGGCTGAAGTAGGTTAAGTAAAGATCAAGAAGCCAGATTCTCGTGAAGGAATAAAAATATTGTGTTTAATTAGTGAGCTGAGTTATTCTTGTGGGTGAATCACATAATAGTTGCAGGTGGACTCACCCATGATCTTCACTGCCTGTTGGCCAGCTTATCTAACAAGCACCTATCAGTTTTCTTGTGTTAGGAACTTAAGAACTTACTGACTTTGAGATTTAAGACAGTGTTGGGGCCCGAGAAACCAGATTTACATAGAATTACACAGAATATATACCAAATTACAGAGATTTAACACATATCCACGGATATTTTGGTTTGTTTTTATTCCGTTAATTTATTCAGCATAAACTGACATTTTTCTTTTGTTTAACACAGCGAGACCTCTCTTAAGTTCTCGCATTAGAATTATATATTTCTGCAGGTTCTTATTTTCACTTTCAGGAGAACTCCTAACGTTCTCATACTGTGAACGAAGTTTGGCTCCATTGTTTACTTTAACTTTGTATAGGGCCAACGCCATAAGGTTCTCGTCAGTGATTCGGATTTGCCTAAGTTTGTCATAAACGAACAAGTTTAGAGTTGGATTCATCTTAAGTGTGAAGCCAAGTTAATAGCTTTGTCATTGTTGCGGTTGTTTATAAGTGAAGTAAAGACCTGGATTTTAAAGTTTTAGTGTATTTACAAAGATAAAAGTGAGAATGACTTAACGTAAACTGGTGTTATTTTTATTTGGTGGCTTCATTTCACTTTGTATAACTTACAAGGGGAATTACGTGGACCAACAGTAGTATCTTTCTATTGAAGTCTTCGTTTGTTCTTGTTGGCCTACACTTTCTAATTAAAGCTTCAAAGAGCACACGATCAATTGCCTATTGCATAGTTCTTTATTAATGGAATATTTTTTGATATACTGTTAGCTATGAATCATTAAATATTTGTTCTTTGTGTAAATCTTGTCTTGTCTCTCTCTCTCTTTTTTACTGAACTGTCACAACTCATTGGGAAATATACATCCAAGATACGAGAACCTTTAGTTATTAGTGGGCCTAACTTTTTCTGCTTTGCTGGTCATCCGTGAGAAACCACAATACATTAGTAGGTGCACTGCACAGCAAAAGAAAAACTTGATTCAAAAATACCCGACTGTGGATATTGCAGTATATACAACCTATTGCATTCGTGCAGTAAAAAACAAACTTTTAACATGGTGAGCAATTTTCTTCTTTTAAAGTCTATGAAAATGTAAATATGTTCTACAAATACACATAGGGGCAACATATACTGTATGAAAATACTTTAAGTACTTGTGTTAAGGTTGTGACAATTGGATATTAATCGTTGTTAGGTTAGTAGCATACACGATCATCTAGGTCTAATTATTAATTAGTTACTATTACTAGTATATATATTATTATTTAAGAATTAGTCCTAAGACTATTGACCATGACAACGGTGTATGGTGTTTTGTTAAATTTACCATTCATCAAGGATCCCATTAATAAGTATTTCGGGTGTTCGTTCTGTCATTTGGAGGATTTAACAGAATTCAGTGAATTCAACAGTTTTTTACACAACATAAGGTAGAAAAGTTAGAATAAAAACACACACACTACTACTGAATAACTCCTGATACTTTTATTACAAAGTCAAATGTAAATAGTAAGAAACCATACACAGAATTTACAAAATATTTTTAATATTCTTATCAGTAACAACACATTTCTATTCTCCAGATTCAAGATTCAGAATAAATTTTCATTGTAAAAAAGGTTCGTACACTTACTTTTATCATTGTTTTCTCCAAATACATTTTTACTGCCTTTATCAAAGCTATTATAAAACAACAACAACACTGTATTAAATTTTTCGTTTCTCCTAAGCCTTTAGGATGGAGGATGTAGTAGCCGAAGCTTATTTTCTTCGAAAAACGGACAGAAACAAAACTTAAGATACAACTTTTGGTATCGTTTCTCTCATAAAAATAGAAGAAATAAGTAACAGCAAAAACACGGACTTACAAATATTTTTCTTTATTTAACTTTTTCTTCTGTTACAAATATAAGTTTAGAATGAAACACCTGTAAAAAAATAATTATACATATTAGGGCCGTAAGAAGGTACCAGTTTTGTTTCCCACACTTCACTCTTCTGATCAAATTGGTAATAATACCTAGCATATATTAACTATCAACATTTCCCCCTTTTATTCCCAACAGCGTTGTATGGCACAATGTGTTCCTAACCTGTAGATAAGTACACTGCAATAATACGTTTCTGGTAACAAATTATGTGGCTCAGGATTTCAAGTTGTTGTTTTTTTTAGGTTTTTTTACAGGTCACTAAATCTTTTATACGTTAGTGGTTGTCTTTCTAATAGCAACGCGATTTTCTCAATGCCGTGAAAAAGCTATTTGGCCATGATCACTGTTGCAAAAACATTTTTTATGGTGAAAATCAGTAATAAAACTGATTAATGCAAGTGGTATTTTCTTATGTCATTCAATGATTCACAGTTCACCTAATAAAATCGCGCATCATACAGTGATCGAATGTACTATCTAAACGTCACTAAAGTTCAGATGGCTTACTTTAAAAGCATTATCCCCGGAATTAAGGCGTTTCGCTTTGAGAAACCCTAAACAAATCCCTTCCTTATGATTCACTGACACTATTTAGTGAAAGTGATTAATTGACAAAAGTTAATACTGAAATCAAATATGTAAATGATTTGGTTAAGTACCAGTGAAAGAGGTTTTATCATTCATATTATATCATTTCGATATATTTCATGTCATTTTTGTGAAGTTAATAAATATTCAACTGACCAAATTTGATCATGAAAACATAATATAATATTGCTTAAGCCAAATGAAGTTATTGGAAAGCTTTAAAAAAATATTACTCATTTTATTTCTTAAAGTTTAGTGTCATATTTTACACCACCACGTCGGAAAAATCACAAAATGTATCTCTAACTAAGGTGTTCATGCTTTGACTAAATCTTTCACATATCACAACATATGAGATCATTGAAAACGGGTTCAACTTAAAAAAACAAAAAACAAAATAGGAAACTAAATATCGAGACAAAAAACATCTAGCTATCTTTTTTTAAGAATTCAACATCCACGAGAGTTGAAACACGCCTCTAAAAGCAGAGAATTTAAACACTATTGTTCCTATATACTGTATCATTCGTGATTTGACATTTTACCTTTATTCAACCATTTCAAGCACTGCTTCTCATTGTCAGTAAAGTTACACATTTACATGTAAATTCTAGTAGGGTACAGAATATGAAAGTTTTACTGTATGCTATTCTTACACTGCCGCCCCTCCCCAGTGGCACAGCGGCATACCCGCGGACTTACAACGCTAGAATCCGGGTTTGGATACCCGTGGTTGGCAGAGCATTAATAGCCCATTGTGCTTAGTTACAAACACACAAACAAACTTACACTGTTGCCTTAAGTGATAACACCATAACAAAACCAAATAACAGCTTCCACATGTAAAAAGGCAAAACAATGCAAAACTATAAAACAGATGAGAGAAGAAGAAAAAAAAAAGATAGAAAAGAACGAGAGAGACAAACTGCTGTTCCTTAAAACTAGTCCATGTTTAGTTCGGTTTTACATTTTAATATACGACCCGAAAATAATAGAATAAATGGTATGTTTGAGCACCAGTATTATTTCAAATTCAGGCTTACGTTTATGTTGTGTAAGATTAGATGGCTTACGTCTAAAGAATTACCAAAAACAGCAAATAACTATATTGTTGGAGCCTAGTATGACCTGGTGGTTTGGGCGCTCGGCTCGTAATCTGCTTGCTGGTCGCGATTTCGAGTTCCATCATTGAACTTGCTCGACCTTTCAGTCAGAGGGAGGGGGGGGGGTGTTATAAGGTCACGGTCAACACCAAATACACCCCCTCCCCCCCACCCCCGTGACCCGACAGTAAGTCTGCATGCTGACAACGCTAAAAAATTGGGTTTTCAATACCCGTTGTTGGCGGAGCACAGCCAGCCAACCAACTTTATTGTTTTTGTTTGTTTGTTTATTCCTCGATTGTGATTTAGGCTGTTTTATAAGAGAATACGTTTTCACACTGTTTACTGGAAACGTTCCCAATGCTTCTAAAGCAACTCTTTATGCAGAACTTCTGGTTTGGATTAATACCAGTTTTTTATACAACTACCAAGTTTTCATAACTTACATTAAAACATACAAAATTAATACGTTAAATTTAAATAATGTCAAGTGTGAGCGTTACCATTGTTTTGATTTACCAAAAATACATTACGGTCTACAAACGTCCAAATGTATCATTTTTTGTATGAATACATATTCTATGAAGGAAATAAAGATTAAGCGAAAGTTCGAATAAACTTAAGTTTTTCACTCAAGCTAAACGTCTTACCAACTAAATAAGAAACAAATTCAATTTGTGAAACAAAATAAACTTGGAATATTATTAGGCAAATGTGATTAAATTTGAATGTACAATGAATTACAAAGAATTAAAAAAAAACATTTCATCATAATGAGACAATTTGATTTTAGCAATTTACGTTTATCGGTAAATTAAATAAAATAAAATAAAAAGAATTTGTCAAATTTTTCTTAGGAATATTAAGCATGTGTTAGTGATCTTAACACACTTAGTACAAGTATCACAAGATCAAAAATATCGCTTACGTTGTATGATTATTAGGCCGTTTTCCAGACAAAATGGCAATTCTAATTTCATGTTACATTAATTTCTGACCCCAGTAATAACTTGAATTCTTATGAGTAAAATTACACCAGTCATAACATAACAATAACTTCGAAATACTGAAATACGTTCTAACTATATAGAACAACTACAACAAATAAAAATTCACAGGAGGTAATTAGAAAATATTCAACAGGTCGTGTGTTTTGCTACATCATAGACAAGTAGCGTTTGTTTACTGATAAAGTTCTTTCTTTTGGTGATCAGAAATTTAATCAAGTATTTTGAGTACTGTTTCATAAAGTAAAGATTAATGACGAAGGACACATTGTTGTTATAAAAAAATAATGTACACAGATTTGAATATCTGATATTTTAAAATTAACATATCAAGGGTGGGAATAGTGAATTGGGTATGTATACAATAAGAGAGACGTACAAATAGGATAATTGTTCTTAGGTTAGAACAGAAATGAAGAGTTTTGATGTTTCATTGGGTAATTTCACACACATACCGTAAAATAACGGTTTTCATTTGGTTAAAGAATATATATATGTATATATATATGTGTATATAAAACTATAACTATTTACAAGCCACATAATAAATGTCTAATTACAATGTATATTCACAAGTGTAAAACAAGAAAAAAAATTACTTTCAAATAACTAATGCATTATAATCAATGCATGTAATTTTTTTTTTCTAAAGCCTTTTTTAATTGCTTTGGTAATTTTGAAACGAGGTCATTAGCATCATAAAACATACTGAGATGCAGAAATGTTGGCCTTGTAGTCAAGGGTAATCAAATTTAACAATAGCTGAAAAAAGTATTTACAATAACTACAATAAGACGAAAAAAGTATTCAATGAATTTTCATGTTCTCTGAGAATTCTCTGAATGTGATAGTCACTGTCATGAAATAGCTCTTAACTTGGAATACTTTCATTGTATTTGTCTTTTTTTTTTGCGCATTCCTTTGGTAACAGTGAGTTAATACTTAAGTTTTATTTGAGTTGCTTGATGAAGAAGTACGTTAGTTTAGCGAATAAATGTATAACAAATCTTTGGCAACGGTGAATGAGCTCCTATCCAATGTGACACATCACAACCTCTACACAGCGAACAGCACCAACCTAGTGTTTGGTTCTCACTTTTCAAAACATTTTAGAGCGAGAATGGAAGTAGTCTGTCTTACGTTAAGTTTTCACGCCAATCTAACAACTTCACTACACGCTACAAAACTTGAGCAAGTTACTTTTAAGCTGTAAAAAAAAAAAAAACATGCTTTTCACGATATCTTATATACACGAGATCAATGGTTGTATACTTAGGGGAAGTTAAAGGTCACATATCCACAGGAGGACCTTCACTGGAGGAGTGAAACCGTGGTCGACGTCTCACTATATCTTGTCTTCGGTTGCTACTCTGTGACCATGAAAGAATACGGTTCATCCAAGGGGGAATGGAAACAGGCTGTAGGTATAAAAAAATACAGTGTTAATTATATCACCCAAGAGGGAATCTAAACAGGCAGAGATTAAAAAAAAATACAGTGCTAATTATATCACCTATGGGGGAATGGAAACAGGCTGTAGGTATAAAAAATACAGTGTTAATTATATCACCCAAGGGGGAATGGAAACAGGCTGTAGGTATAAAAAAATACAGTGTTAATTATATCACCCAAGGGGGAATGGAAACAGGCTGTAAGGTATAAAAAAATACAGTGTTAATTATATCACCCAAGGGGGAATGGAAACAGGCTGTAGGTATAAAAAAATACAGTGCTAATTTTATAAAGGTTAATGAACTATTACTAATAGTATAACAAAAAAAGAAGGTTTTCGACAGCTCGTGTGTAATTCGCTACAGCATTCCAGTCGGTTTGTTGCTCGTTACTCAAACTGCTAACACTTAAATTTCATATTAAAACAAAAAAAAAGTTCATCCACCATTAAGAGGCAATAGAGAAATTATTACTCTTAATTCCCATCAAATGTTGAAACAGAAATCAGATGGCCATAGTTCAGAGAGGGTCAAAGGTTGATCACGTCGTGAAGATGAAGGAGCTGCTTGATGGATCTATTGAAACTTGAGATATTTTAAATTAACCTCTTAAAGAGCACTATGATACGGGGGCAAAGTCTTGTTGAAGTGATGGAACTAATTGATATTTTTGTGTTCCGACTACTTTGAATCACTGGAAAATATTTTGTACAAGATAACCCCGTAATTACTGCTATGACGTCACAACTTATTTGCACAAGATCATGCAGAAGTGCACTGTTATTGTGCTGGTAAAAATATTTAGATAAATGTTTTATTAACACGTTAATATGACCTATTTATTTCTAAGTTACATAAGACTTTGAAATCTTACATCAACAACGAGCGATGTGTTCCCAGGAGACACAAAAACTAGTTTCAATTTCTTTTATTGAATAACTAATCATTATACGAATGTACAATAACATGTTTATTATAGGGGCAAACTAAACTATCGGCAGAAACAAATATTAAAAATAAACATAGCATACAGTGAAAATATTTTTAAAAAGAAATACTGACTACGACTTTTGTTACGGTCGACAGCTTTTTTTTTACTGCATGATGTTTTTACCTAAACTCAGCTTAGTTCTCTTGCATGCGTGAGACAAGAAGGAAATTGTCTCAACAGCGCTGTGTGATTGTTCCAAACGCCTGACAATGATACAACTGAGATAAATACTGTTGATGGCAATAGGCAACAGGCCTAGGGTATTAGTGGCGACAAGGAGATGTGGAACAATACACTCTTTTACTGCTTCTGATGGCTAATTATTTTAAATGTGTTTGATATTTGGTTCCTTTCTCTGCATGATTTAATTTTTGGCTGCAAGGCATACAAAGCGAGGATTTTTTTCTGTTTCATGCACCACGTTCAAATAGAAAAGAATATATATTTTTGAATGTAGTTTTTAATGCTGATTTCAGAAATATATATAAATTAAAATTTGGAGAAATGAAAAGATATATATTTTTTATTTTGCTTACGAAACAAAGGAAGTACTTTCAGCATTACCTATGTATTTAAAAGAATTGTAAAACATCAATATAATACAAAGTATCTAGTGACGACGTAACAAATTCAATGTGAAAATTCAGAAATATTATTAAATATTTGCTTCAAGAGATCGTCATTTTCATGCCTACGACGCCAAACGAACTCGAAGAGATATGAGCCAATCATGTTACGATTGGTTCCACAATGTCGCTTGTTACGTCTCTTAACCACTTTCCAAG